ATTCTATGATTCTATGATTCTAGTTGATACAGTTCAAAGATTTATACCTTCATTGTTGAAGTGCTTCTAATTTAAAAAAAAAAATAATTTCTGAAGGTGAAACTTGAAGCGCATGCTGACCAGTCACTCTTAATTCTTTGGTGTAGGTCCTAGTGATGCGTCTCCAGATGAAGGAGTAGTAGAAGATCTGCCTTTAATAGATGAGAAAGCTGTGGAGCAGCTAACTGAAGGATTGATTTCTCATTATCTGCCTGATCTTCAGCGATCAAAATCAGCACTACAGGAACTCACGTAAGCAGATTTTTAAAACCAACTTATGTATGCATACTTTGCCATTTTTTTTTTCAATATAATGTTCTAGCTACCCTTAGTTGGAATATAGTTTATGGTGGCACTTTTGTGTTCTAACTATAGTATCCTCAGTAGCTGTGATTTGTGGGAGTACTGGGGGGTGTATAAGCTGCAGCATGGCCTATCAGAACTTTGAAGAATGTGTAACACTATAACACTAAAATCCCCTAAGCTGGGGAGAGAGGAGGACATGTAGATTTCTTAAATACTTGTTCATTTCTGTAGTGTTAAGTTTGCTGATGCTTGGATTTATTTTGCTTGGAGAAATGCAGTTCATATTCAAGGCAGCTTGTAGTGCAAAAGATACACTTGGAAAATACAATTAAGGAGCTAAATAGATAAGAATTCTTCGCACGTTGGCATCTTGCTGGTAATTGGGAAAGAAATTATTTCAAAGTCAGGCTGGACCTGCCATGGACGCAGAGATCCTGGAGAGGGCTTTACAGAGATCCATCTCAGGTGTAGCTGGGTACACTGGTTTGGGTTTCACGGTGCATAATGTGATCATGCTGCTGCCAGGGACAGCCTATGTCTGGAAAGACTTTAGCTGATTTGCATGGGATGGAGGAGCCTTAATAAGCACCAGTGATCCATGCAAGTTCTCTACAGAAATAACTTAGTCCTGCAGCATGACACAGAGGCACCCAAGTGGGAGGTCAAGAGCTAATTGTTCTTCCCTTCATGAAGCCTAGGGTGTTCAATCACTGAACCCTGCAGTGTCTCCTCAGGGCTTTTGGATATTCAGTCTGGATATCCATCCATGCTCAATGATGCCCCCTGAGTTTGTGTGTTCTCAGCTGGGATTCTCATAAAACCATTTACTTGTGTCTTTATTGAAAGAATGCAGCAATGCATAAGAGGCATCTGATACTGGGAAGTGTGTAATTCTATTGTTGTGATCAAAAGTAGTGTTTGTTTAAAGGGCTGGTAGAAATGCATATGTACTGCTTTACTTTGGTTTTATGCTTTTTTTTTTTTTTTTTCCAGACAAAACCAAGTGGTATTACTAGAAACATTAGAACAAGAAATTTCAAAATTCAAAGAGTGTAACTCCATTCTTGATATCGATGCTCTGGTAAGTACTGTTAATGCTTTCTTAAATCTGTTAGTGTAGATTTTCTTGCTGAGCATTAGTAGCAACTTGCGTATTTTCCTTAATGACCTACAGGAAGAGAACCAACCAGTTCAGGTATTTAGGACAAATTTTTGCTGGAGAAGGTGTGGAACCAGTATATTTCCCTTAAATAGGAAGGGCACTGTGAAGAGCAAGCAGGCTCAGTCAGCTGGTGGTAGTAAATCTAGTTGTTCAAAAGCAGCAGCTGAAATTGTGCCATTTTTTCATCGGACTGAGGCTCCAGTGTGAGCTCTGTGCACCTCTCCAAGCTAGCAGGAAGGGTGAAGTATAAAACACTGATACGTGGTGTATAAAATGGTAATATTTTTATTCTGTCTAATGAATCTTAAATCAGTAGGTTATTTGGTATACCTATTGAGGTATCTGTAGTATACTGGGTGTACTATATGTAATTACATAGTTTTCTTTGTTGATAGATGTAATATGTAAACTTCGTATACACACTTGAACATTTTTAATCCATTATCATTTTTTTCTGGTACTTTTGTAGTATTGATTACCCTTTTGCTGTGTAGCTTTATAAAACTATTCCAACTTGACAGTCACTACTTTAACAGTTAAATTTTTTAAGTTTTCAGAAGCTAAACATTATCACAACAAGCTAGTGAATATTAGAAATGAAATGATGATGCTCCATGAGAAGACATCAAAGTTAAAAGTGAGTGGGATAAATATTTTAACTTTCCAACACAGATATTTAATTACATATATTAATGACTTGCAACTTGTATTTTCGATGCATGCTGAAGGTTCTGATTAAAATAGAATCTTCAGTCTGTATCTTAAATGGATGTTTTCAGTAGTGTCCAGCCATGTATGTTCTTAAACTTTCACTTATCCCTGCTTGTGCTCAAGCAACTTACACATCTGTGCTACCAGCAAATCTCACTGTTGTCAGCATGTTTAGGTGGTGTAAGAACCACGCTTTGTTCTGTCAGTTCATTCATGTCTGTCCACTCCATTCCCACTTGTTATCTTTGTAGTTTCAGTTTCTGTGCCTTTTTAATGAAAGCTAGTTTTTCATAAACATAAAAATTTCTCCTTCTAGTCCATGTAATGTTAACAGTGGCATAAGTTCCCTGACTTTATGCTGCATAGGTGGTCTCTGGTTACATTCTGGGAGGATTAGTCCTTCAGTATGCTCAACAAAAGGATTTTCTCTTGGAGACAATAAATTGCAGAGTTTGCACCCTGTCTGGTATACACAAAGGATGAGTTCTAGTGAGGCTGAAGGTAATCCAGTTTGTTTTCCCTGCATAGATCACAGACTTGCCATTTCTGAACAATAAGATGGAAGTGGGAGGAAGGGGGAAAAAAATGAACAGTTTATGCAACATCCAGTTGTAAGCAGAGTGGATTGGAGAAGTGTTAAGAAAATGAGAGAGATATTGTTTGTAGCTCCAACTTAAATACAGCTATAAAACTTAGATATATTTTCTTGCATTTCTGTTTAGAAAAGAGCGCTCAAGCTGCAACAAAAGAGGCAGAAGGAAGAACTGGAACGAGAACAGCAACGTGAGAAGGAACTTGAAAGAGAGAAGCAGTTAACAGCAAAACCTGCTAGGAGGACGTGAAAGCAGAGCGTGCAGCAGCTCATCCCAATTAATCATGTCTACATTTTCTGCAGTTAAGGCAGATGTTGCTCACACTGGGCTATAGCTCTGACTAGCAACAGTCTGCTCTGCAATACTATCAGTTCCAGAATGGTAATAATAGGGTTGGTAATGTGCAATTTTTTTTTCTTTTCAGCCATTCAAGCTGCCTTTTTTGTAACGCTATGCAGTTTGATATTATTATAGTCTAAGTTAATTTTTTTATGTATGTATGAATATGGAAACTTAGGCGTCACAGTTTCAAATACCTATCAGGTTTTTTTCACCTGTTTTGCTGGTGTTTAGCATTCCAAGAGATATTTGGTGACTGCCATACATATTTTTCAGACAAAATACAGAATACTAGTTAAAGTTCACTTCTCATCACTGTACCTCAGTGGCCACCTCTTTCACCAAAGCCACTTTGATTCAGGCAGTTGGGATCTCTTTTTCGTGCCCTGGTTTATAAATACTCACCTTTTCTGCAGCCTTGTTTTGGTCTGTCTCTAGTGAACTAAAGAAACTTCCAGTGTATGTACCTGAAAGCTCACTTTATTGCAGGAGTCTCATTTTTTTTTTAGTCATCAAGTAACTTAAGAATAGCTTTAAAGTAACTTCTGAGTAAGTTCCCAGCTGAGTTGATTAAGGAGGGGTGAGCAGAACACTAAAGATATTCAAAATTGATGTGTGCACAATGCAAAGAAGAATGAACTTGTGCTCTCACAAACACTTGAGTCAAACCAGGGAGTTGTTGCTTTCTGTAATGGTTCAACAGGAAGACTGTGTGGCCTAAGAAGATTTCTGTGGGATTACAAAGGTTTAGTTCCTTCATTTTATGTAACAAAATAAAATACAACCAAAATGAAACAATTGCCCCTTCATGTGACCTTTGGTTAGCTGTAGGAAAAACTACTGCATTTAGTTTTTTTCCTTAACAAATTATTCATTTGCACTTGGGGGCTATGTAAGAGAATTTTTGTAATGCTGGCCTCACCCAGAGTGGTGATTGCTAGTGTTTACTGATGATAAATGTGGAATGGAGGTTGATATCCATTTTTCTGAATGTAATTGCTTTCGTGCACCACTTGGTGTGAACTCCCATTCAAACGAATGTATGTGCTGTCTAGACTGGTAAAAGAGCTTTAAACTATTTGTTCCTACAGTCTAACAAACTGGTTATTTGGTACCTGTTACCTGTTGGTTATTTTTTAAGTAGTAATATAAGTGGTGTGTTTTGAGGTAAGATGAAGGGTAAGCTATGTAAAGTTTTCCATAAAATATGTAAAGTAAGGTATCAGACAGTCAATTTTACTTTTCCTTCCATTTTAGATGATTTACACAGTGTACACGTGTCTGGACTCCTCTGTATTCTAATTCTGTGAACTCCGAATTCCCTGTTGTTAATATTTGTCTTATTTTTTCTGTGAAAGACATACTCTTTAACAAGTAATCAGCCAACATGCAAGGTAAACTGGGATGATGTTTTGAGACAAGGAGAACAAGCTACTTAAAGTAGTCTGAAGAGACGTTGAACTGCTGTTACTGAAGCAGTGGTAGATTAAAACTTCCCATGGATATTTTTTCCTTTCAGTTGACTTGTGTCTGTTATTTGCCAGTGGACTCTTGACCTGGTTTCTATGTATTTTTAAGAAATGCAAAGAATTTCCACAGTCCTTTTTTTGGAGCAGAATGTATATAAGTAAATGTTTAAATATTTTATTTTCTAATGTAATTTCAAAACTAGATTCTGGGAATTTAAACAGTTCTTATTAAAGTATAACATGAAACTAGATGCCTCCGTATCCAAATTGGAGTTAAATTCCTGTGTTATTTTTTTCTCTCCATAAGATGTTTCATACTCTATGTACTCATTTTTAAACTATCAAGTCACGGCAGCAGAAGTTAGACACTTAACTGTGCAGTAACTCTGAATTTTTATTTTGTAAGATTCTACAAATCTAGAAATTACTGTTGCTGACTGGAGTATCTTGGTTTCCTGTGCTTTTATCTTTGCTGTTGTTAACCTGGATGCTTAATTTGGGTTCCCCCACCTGTGGCCATATAACTTTGAGCCAATTTTTAATCCAGTGAAACCTGGCATGTTCATTAGTAGTGGTAGCTTTGCCATGTTCATAAAACCAATATTTGTTTCCTCTTGGAAAATAGCTGCAGAATATTTTATCTGGTTTTACTCCTTTACAGCATTACTTATGCTATTACCACTTGCTGTGACCCAAGTGCTAATAGCATAAATAATAATGTAAAGGTTGTTTCTGTAGCTGTTCTGTTGGGATTCTAACAGTGGGGAGAGTCCCCTGGCTGATTTATTCTGCACTGTGCTTCAGTAGACACTTCTGCCGTCTACTGCTTGCTTTGCAGCACTGCTGGCTGCTCTTCATTTCAATTCTGAGCTTGTTGCTTTCATGCCTCACTTTGCACAGGTCCTTTTTTTATTTTTTTTTTTTTAGATCTTATTGGTTATTTGATCTTTGTTGGATTAGTTGTGTGAATATAACCAAGTTAATGCTAAAAGCTTTGCAGGTCTCCAGTCTGCGATGTAAATCTGCAAGAATACAAATTACAGCAGCATAAACATGAATATGGCTATTCATGCCAGGCAAAACAGACAGTGTACACAGAGTTTCTTAGTAAGGCAGTATGTGACAGTAGAAAAGATTGTTTCATTTATTATTTATTTTTAAATAAAAGTGTAAGCTTAAGTTGAAGTAAACAGTTGGGTTTGGTGCAAATGCCACTACTTTCTAGTAATTGGAAGCACACTTCTACTTCACTTTTCTTAGTTCATGGCAAAATGATTTTTAGAAGAACAGGCACCAAAACTGGACAGTTGCATCCCCACCACCACCACTATATGTCCTCAAACCAGTCCTTTGTGATACCAGCATAGCTGAGAACTCTTAGGATATGACAAATTTTGTTTTCTCAGATACTCTCTAGGTAGGTGTTTCAAGTAAAACAAACTGGAAGAACGGCTCTATTGTTGGTACCTGGCAGTGTCACAACAGTGCTGCTGTGGAGAATTGTAACTTTTTTTCTCCAGGCAGCAACCATGCCATGGATCTAGGAGGTTATGACTAACTCGGGTCCATAATCTCAGTGTTATTCATGAAGTGTTGTGTAGCTTTAGAAGCACAGATGTTGGTCGTACCTGATAACTCAGTATTTTGTTCTTGGTTTTGCACTTATTTATCCATTTATGTCCCTGATGTCAAGCCATGGAGTTTAAGAAAGGACATGGAACACCCTGCTTGGGAGTCAGAGAAGTTGCAACAACTGTATTCAGCTTTTACAAACTTGCAAAGTAACAAAGCAAATAATTTAAAGCTTTATAAAGAATAATTTCAAACATGCAAAGGCAATAGTCTCTAATGGAGAAATTTACAGAAGTAATTACGTTTGCACTGTCATTCACACTGAGATGTAAGAAAAAAGATAAGGCTGATCTATTTTATTTTGTTTCACGTGTTGCAATGAAAATCCATCCCGGCACTGCTATGAAAACAAGACCATCTGTATGTGTCCTGGTCTGCAAAACACTCTATCTATAAACTAGCAATACCATTTATTGCCTGGACAAGCAAAACTTCTCTTCTGTCCCCTGGGACTTGTGTAAAGAGTAATATCCTCCGATGTAAGTACAGCAATAAACCATTCATACAGTCTCTGCCACCCACAACTTGAAACCAATGTTTCACCCCTTCAGTACTCAACTGAAGTTGCTGGTTTTCCAGTCTTTAAATTGGGTAGAAGTCACGCTGATGAACTACGTATGAGAAACTATTTTGTACTCTGTTTTGTTTCTGTTTCTACTTCTTTTTTTTTTTTTCTTACTACTGCTGTTTTTTTGTTAGTCTCACAGATGCTATGATTTAGAGGTATGCCAGAAGAAGGACAGCTCCAAGAAAAAATATCAAAGATGATGTGAGGAAGTTATTGCCTTTTTTCTGCATCACTTAGCATTACTAGAATTCATTTGAGATTGTGTTCACAGTCAGGTAGGCGCTTTCCACAGAAGGATAATATCCATCCTGGAAAACTCTCCCTTTAAGCCTAGACAGGTATGTACATGCTGTGCTGTGGAGGGGATCAGTATAATTAAACAGGCCAGGAGGTGTGTGCTCTGGCTTTCACAAGAAAGCCCAGTTGCCTGGGTGTTTTATGTGTTCTGTTTCTACGTTAAGGTATTAATTTAAAAAATTTCTTTATTAAAATTAGAGACCATCTCTGTAGGAAGCCTGTGGGGGAGCATAAAGAAGATATTTTAGTATTTAAAGACAGTCCTAAACATATATGTTAAAAAAAAACCCAACAACTTTCCTTCTTTGTGTATAAAGATGAGGATCAACCTCTTAGGAAAAAAAAAAAAAAAAGGAAAAAAGGCTATATTCTGCCTATACCAGGGCAGCTGGGAACAGGGAGTCAGGAAGGTGTTAGAAATTACAAAAATGGGAAGTTTGGGTATCCTGAAAGATATTGCTGTAAACTGTGTTGTTGGTTTGTTGTTTTTTTCTTTAGAGAAATCACTTGTATTAACAAAGATGTCTAATCTTCATGTCTTATGTGTAATGATACTGGTTGTTTCTTCTCCCAGTACATTTTCTGTCATTCCAGTAACCTATTTTTCTTTTAAAATTTTGAAATTTTACATTTCAGTAAATTCCACGAAAGTGTAGGTGTTCAGCACCTCTGAAAAATGAACCTTTGCCTCTACATGGGAATGCAGTCATCAGAGGTCATTTATTTATTATTAGTTATTGATCTAGTATGTGGTTGTGGGTTTTGTTGTTTTTTTTTTTGTTTGTTTTGTGTTATTTTTGTTTGTTTGTTTTAATGTAAGCATCTTGCTGCTTTTCTGTGTGTAGAAAAGGATCACTAGGTGAAGATTTAGGGTTGCTGCTTCCTACTTAACTCCTCGACACCTTTCCCTCACTCTCCATAGCTTCCCACAACTGGCTGTGTAC